GTAGTAGTTCCCACTTATTTGTGAGAACATACGGTGTTCAGTTTTCCATTTCTGAGATAGTTCACTTAGGGTAATGGTCTTCAGTTCCCTCCACATTTCTGCAGATGACATTATTTCATTCCCTTTTGTTTTTAGAGACAGGGTCTCACTCTGTTGCCTGGGATAGAGTGCAGTGGCATTATCATAGCTCACAGCAGCCTCAAACTCCTGGGCTCAAGAGATCCTCCTGTCTCAGCCTCCCGGAGTGCTGGGATTATAGGCATGAGCCGTCGTGCCCAGCCAAGCTCATGGTTCTGATAAATGAGATAGGGTTTAGGTAATTTAAGGGCTGCCACAAATGTGGAGTGAAATCTCCGTTTCAGTCTTGGAGCATCCTTGCAGCCCCCTGCATGGTTTGACCTTGGACATGTTGCACAGCTCTGAGCCTCCCTTGCTACATCTGTAAAGTGGGATGGTAGAGGTGCCCCTCCCAGGCCACCGGAAACATGGGGTGCACCGTCACCTACAATTGGCCTGGTGTTGCTCCGGGGACATGGTGGGTGTTCAGGAAACAGTGCTTTTAGGATTGACCTTTTTGCTCAATTTTTTGTTCAATGTGGATACAAAGAACAACTTAACATGTGACCAAAGACTTCTTCACGTAATGAGTCTGACTTTTTGACAGTTAAGAGTAAAGAAATGAGTTGAGACAGTCTCAAAGGGGCATCTGGCCCCTTGGTCTTTGTTTTTCATGCCAGCGAAAGGAAAGTTAAGCCTCTGGATCACAGGCTGCTAATTAACTCTGAGGCATGTTTTATTATTTTAAATATAGAATATGGTAGATTAGGAAGCCGGAAAATGGAAAAGACGAAAGAAAAAGGAAACCCTCTCAGGTCCCACCTGAGCAGTACTTAGATTCTGAAGCATGCCGCTGCGTTGCTTATTTGCTGTTCCTTCTAATTGAACAGATTCTCCATTTACGTGGTTCTAAAAGCAGAAAGGCTGCTTGCTATTGAAAACGGTGTGATCATACTGTTTTTTGCAATTTTTATCCAGTTTTCCCAGAATGGACTTTATTTTCCGTGTGTGTCCCCACCATTCATGGGCTCCGGCATCTCATCCCACCCAGGCGCTGGTCATCATTCTTGAGCCCCCTGAGCCCCCCACCTTTCCTGTCAACAACTGCTGGGTACTTAGGTCATCCCCAGTCCCCCAGAGGCATAACCCCTTTTCCAATTCAAAGATCGTTTCACTCGGATATGTCCCCTTCCCCGGCCAGAGGATATAGATAGATTCCGATCCATCTCATCTGGTTGTTTTCCAGAAGGACCACAGCACAGCAAACATTGACACTCATGCATGCACCTGTGCCTATGCAGTGCCCAGTGAGACCGCCCCGGTATCGCACCTGGGCCAGAGCCAGAACTACTAGGTGTTACAAAGAACAGAAATGAACCCGCCTTGCTGAGTTAAGAGATGGGAGATGCGATCTCTGGTTTAAATTTAATTTCTGTGATTATTCGGGAGACCCTCATTCCCGTGTCTTCCCATTGACTTTCCGCCTCTGTGAAATGCCTGCTCTGCTGCTTCTCTCTTTGGTCTGCTCGTGGCCGAGCATATCTGCTACACTTTTTTTCTTTGCAGTTTTTCTGTCTTTCAGTTCTACTGAGTTTTACACCACCATGATATTATTTTTTAATAGATTGAAGTTGAAAATTTTTGTTTTAGATGGTCAAATCTTCACCTCTTTTCCTTTGACTTTCTTCTCTTACTTTGCTTTTACTTTCATTTTCATTACCTTCAGAGGTTTAGAAATGCGAAGTTTCTGTTTTTGGCTGAGGCTCTTCTGTGGCTTTGCATTCTTGTGTCTGACTGCTGAGTGCAGCTGCAGCGTGTTTGGGCTTGCGGAGCAAAGAGGCTCCCTGCCAGGGAAGCAGGACACAGCCTGGCTGGGGCCAGCATCCCGGTGCTGTGTCCCCTTCTCACCTCTGACCACCTGCCTGGACTCCCGGGGCTCTCTGAGCAGGGACCTGAAATACGCCTGCTTGTAAGAAACGAGCAGAGGGCTGAATCGACACTCAAACTTTGTTGATTCAAGAATAGGGACTAATCGCAAAAGGACAAAGACTGCATGGTCCCACTAAAGTGCGGTGCCCACAACAGTCAGACGCACAGAGGCAGAAGTGGAAGAATTGTTCCCAGGGCCGTGGGAGGGGCAATGGTGAGCTACTGTTTATTGGGGACCCAGTTTCCGTTTGGGACGATGAGAAAGTTCTGGACACAGAGAGTGATGATGATTGCACAACAGTGTAGACGTATCATACTTAATGCCACCGAACTGTGTACTTAAGAATGGGTGACAATGGTCAATCTTATGTTTTGTATATTTTACTACAAATAAAAAGTAGCAAAGACTAAAGGTGGGAAAACTCGAGAGGCCTCAGCCATCCCGTCACATGTGACACGTTGAAGCGCACGGGTAGCTGGCGGTACCTATGTCATCAGGTGGCCAGAGCCTTGGGAGCTCCTGCCTTGGGACAGTCAACCTCAGGCCACTTGTGAGCTGCCTCTGGCGCTGGCTGGGCCTTCCCTGGGCCTCCCTTGCAGCCCCTGTAGAAACACTCTGGAGTGGTTTTATTGTCCCCAGTTTATGGATGAGGGAAGTAAAGCCCGCGGAGTCAAACGTTGGGCCCTGGGTGTCTTTCCAGTTGGAGGCAGAGTCAGAGGTGAGCCCAGGGGTCTGACCCTGCAGCCCTGCCACCTCCTGCTTCAAGGGCCCCCTCCTTACCTCCCCCCGTGGTTTGACCTTTGCTGGAGCGAGCGGACGCTGACCACGCAGGCTGCCTGCAGAGACGCGGCCAGGACGCAGCCTTACTGCGGGCTTGCCTCGTGCTGGGCGTGGGCTCAGAGCCCCTTACTCACATACCTCATTTAATTGTCACTGCAACCCCGGGGTTCAGGGTGGTCGCCCATTTTAGATGAGGAACAGTGGATGTGTCAGTCCGAGTTCCACTGGAGATGCAGAACCAGTCAGAGATGGCAGGTGGTAGACAGGGACACAGACAGAGAAGATTTAGCTCAGGGCGTCTGCTTGGGTGATTGCGGGGGGCCGGCCAGTCTGAAACGCCCAGGGCAGGCTGGGTCTCGTAGGCGGGAGCTGGTGCTGTAGTCCACAGGTAGAATTGCTTTTCCCCCTCAGGGAGACCTCAGTTCTGTTCCTCAGGCCTTTCCGCTGACTGGCTCAGGCCCACCCAGGGTATCCAGAATAATCTCCTTTACATAAAGCAACTGATAGAGGTGTTAATCACATGCACAGAATCCTTTCCCAGCAACAAAGCTGGGTACTACGGCCTCGCCGGCTGGCGCACAACTAACCATCACGGGGGGCTCACTCAGGTGAATTGACTCCTCAGGGTCCCTGGGTCATCGGGCCTTTGCAGCTTCTCAAACCTTCTACCCACTGCCACAGTCCTACAGCGCAACCAGCCTTGGTAGCAAGCGACACTCAGTTCGATTGACAGCCGTGTTGCTCACTCAGTGACCTGGACAGACCCCTCCTGTACGGGGTGGGGCGTGGGGAAGGTTGGGGGGTGCCTGCCCATGGGGGCATTGATTCCTCCAGTGCTCAGAACCTCTGCCCCCGGCCCCGCACTGACGGCGCTCTCTTGCCTCTGCCCCCAGCAACATGAAGCTGCAGTACAAGGGACAGAAGCCATTCCAGCCAGTGGCACAGTAAGGAGACTCATTTCCCCCTTTGCAGCCCTGGGGGTGGGGGCCACCTCCCCTCACCACTGGCCCTTCTGGGTTGCAGGTCACAGTACCCTCAGCCCAAGCTCCTGCTGGAACACAGGTAGGTGTCATGTAGAGACCTGGAGGCGGGTGAGGGAGGGGGCCAACAGAGCTCTGATTTCTAAGTTGGGGTGACGGCGGTGTCAGTGTCAGCATGGCCTTGGAGCCCAGGTAGTCTGGGACTGTGGAAAGACACAGGCTTGGAGTTAGGGACCTGGGCTGTGTGACCTTGGGCAGGTAACTCAACTGCTCTGAGCTTTTTCTGTACAGGTGAATAATAATAGTATCCACCTCTAGGAGGTTGGAGGACCAGATGAGATGGTATCTGTGACACGTGCATCGTGCTCGCACATAGCAGGTGTTCAGTCTGTTGTTAAGGATGATGCTGTCTTGTCCTTAGCGACGGTGCTTGCTCATCAGGCACTCAGCACACACGGAACGTGCTGGGCTCCTCTGGACACTCGGTGTGCGTTAGCTCCAGGTCCTCCCAGGCCTGCTGGAGGTAGCCACCGTTATCCCCACTTTCCACATGAGGAAACAAGCCCAGAGACGGGGATGAAGTCACCCTGGGTCCCGTGGCATGAGAGGCAGGGCTGGGATGAGACCTGGGCTTTCACAGGGGAGGGTCTCAGCGCCCACAGCCCCCCTGCCGCCAGCCCCACAGAGCTGCTGACACTCACACCTTGGCTGGCGCCCATCGTGTCCGAGGGGACCTTCAACCCGGAGCTTCTGCAGCACATCTACCAGCCGCTGAACCTGACCATTGGGGTCACGGTGTTCGCCGTGGGGAAGTGAGTAGCGGGCTAGGTGGGGGGCAGAGGGGGTCTCCCTGAGCTTACAGTCCAGGGGAGAGAGGACCCTGGCTGGGCACCAGGGCGGCCCTGCACCGGGTGCTGAGCAGATGGAAAGCACACAGTAGAGTGTCACTGTGGGAGGGGTCTTCCAGGGGGAGGAGGCCCTGGCATGGAAGGGCAATGGACGCAGCCCAGGGAAGGGAACCGTAGCCTTTATCAGGAGGCCCCCGTGCCCCTCCCTGCTTCCCCAGACCCCTCCTCTGCTTTCCTCTCTCTTCCCTGACCCCACGACGTAGCCTTTCCTTGAGAAGCTGCCACCTGGCAGCTTCCCTCTGGGCCCCTTCCTGGGACTCCTGACAGAAGGACCATGAAGGGACCCCAAGGCCTAAAGCACTTGCCCACTTGGGGTCAACTGACACCCTCATCCAATCAGTCATGACCTGGGGACAGGCCCGTGCCATCCACTTCCCACTCCACGCCCCAGCATCTGGCACAACTCGCCTTGCCTTGATGCAGCCACTTACCCGCTTCTCGGCTACTCTCCTCTCTGATCCTCCGTGTTCCTGGCTATAAACTGGGCAAACTTAACAGGCAGCCTATGAAGATCAAAGATAATAAGAGTTCCTTAGAACGCTGCCTGGCACCTAGCAAGTGCTCCGTGCAAGTTAGCTCGGTTCACGCATGTAACAATCACTAGTAAGCGTCATTCTTAGAGCAATCCCAATGGGATTTTGGGAATTTGACAGATGAGGAGACAGGGGTGATTTCTTGAGGTGGGGAGCTGGGAAGTGGACCCCAGACCTCATGCCCTGCATGGTGCCAGCACATAGTGGGGACCGGGCAGTGGCTCTGCTGGGGTAGCGGTGGATGACAGGGTTCTTATCACCAGGTACACTTGCTTCGTCCAACACTTCCTGGAGTCAGCTGAGAAGTTCTTCATGCGTGGCTACCGGGTGTACTACTACATCTTCACCCACGACCCTGCAGCCATCCCCAGGGTCTCGCTGGGCCCCGGCCGGCTCCTCAGCATCATCCCCATCCAGGGAAACTCCCACTGGGAGGAAATCTCCGTGCGGCGCATGGAGACCATCAGCCGGCACATTGCCAGGAGGGCGCACCGGGAGGTGGACTACCTCTTCTGCCTCGATGTGGACATGGTGTTCCGGAACCCGTGGGGCCCTGAGACCTTGGGGGACCTGGTGGCTGCCATTCACCCAGGCTACTACGCTGTACCCCGCCAGCAGTTCCCCTACGAGCGCAGGCCTCTTTCCACTGCCTTTGTGGCAGACAGCGAGGGGGACTTCTATTATGGTGGGGCGGTCTTCGGAGGGCAGGTGGCCAGGGTATACGAGTTTACCAGGGGCTGCCACATGGCCATCCTGGCGGACAAGGCCAATGGCATCATGGCAGCCTGGCAGGAGGAGAGCCACCTGAATCGCCGCTTCATCTCGCACAAGCCGTCCAAGGTGCTGTCCCCTGAGTACCTGTGGGATGACAGGAAGCCCCAGCCGCCCAGCCTGAAGCTGATCCGCTTGTCTACCCTGGACAAGGACACCAGCTGGCTGAGGAGCTGACAGTGGAGCCAGGCTACCGGGGACGGGGACCCGCAGCCCTGCGGCCACTTTCTCAGTGCTTCAGTCTGCCAAGCCTTCCTCGCAGACAGGCCCTGTCCTACCCACTCAGTCTGTCAGGTGGACCCGACGGAAAATGGGTGTGGAAAGGCCACTGTACACTGTAAAGGGCGGCGCATGCACAAGGAAATCACAGTGATGTGGCATAAAAACAGACAGGAGGGGAGACTGGAGGTTCCCAGGGCAGGCCCGGGCAGGCCTTGCGCATCCTGCCAGCATGCCTTCGCGGGGTGGGCTCTGCAGTCGCAGCCCATCCAAAGTGGTGCACGCCCTTTTGTTGCCTAGTGCCCTTAAAGTTGCACTTGTAACACCTGGTGTGTAGGCACCCCAGGCCCCTTTTCTCTGGCTGCAGGGGCTCAGGTACTGTGCTATCCCCCAGTGTTCCTCACTCAGGACCCCTGAGCCAGCCTTTGAAATGAGCTGGTCCAGACTCCTCTGGTTCCCTGCACACCAAGGTGAGCCATGCTCTCCAGGACGAGCCGCCTCCTTTGTAAGAGGGTTTGGAGCAGTTTTTGAATAAAGGTGGCGTGTCAGGCCCTAACCAGGGTTTTGTTACCAGCACATCTGAGTGTCTTCTGCTGGCACTGGGGATACAGGCAGACTGGATTTCAAACAACCCACCGGGATGGGGGTGCGCAGTCACTCTAGAAAATCCGGGCTAAAGCTGGCCGCTGTAGCAGACAGGGTTCATTCCGATCCTGCAGGGAGCCTGGGTGAAGTGGGGGTGTGCTGACAGATCTGCCGCACCCCCGCCTGAGTAGAGGGAAGCGGGGCCTGGGGAGCCCTGTGGTGCTTACGCCCCAAGCACACAAGGGATGCGTCTGTCGGCCTCCCCATATCCGGGGTCGCCCCAGCCGTGCAAGGCCTCTTGTGGGCGTAGGGCTCTGAGGCCGTGGTGCGGGCCAGGATTAGAGGGCCTGCAAGGGTAGCTTCTCCAGCCTGGACCCAGAGGGACTCGGAGGCCCATGGGGGTTCTGTCTGCCTGGCCACGCAGGGGTGCCCACTCCCCTGGAGGCAACAGCGTCTTTTCCATGGAAGGAATGGACACATGGTAGGTTGGAGTGTACTCTGTGGGTGCACCAGAATGGGTAGACACCCACCTGGCCACCCCTAGCAAAGCTAGGGCTGGCCCCGAGTCCACTCTTCCTGCAACCTGTGATTTGGCCAGTGAGCAGGGACAGATGCCAAGAATGTGACCAGTTTGAGGAGACAGACTGGGCTGGAGAGGACTGCAGGTGCTGCAGGTGCTTCCTGGGTAGAGGGGCAAGAAAGGGCCCATGGCCTCTGTGTCTCCAGGAGGGAGCACCTGCCCACGGCTGTCTGGGTCTGCACCTGGGGGAGGAGGGTTCTGTACTGAAGAGCCAGCCATGCCTTCAGGAAGCTTCCATTTAGAGCAGACAGGCCCCTGATGTGCAGACCGAGGAAGCGAGGCCTGGGCAGCCTCAGCCTGGCAGAAGAGGTTTCTCCCGGCCTTCTCCCCAGTACGCCCTCGCGGGGTTGCTGTTGCTGACCCATTTTCAGCTGAGGGCACTGAGGCTCTGACATGTCATCACATGAGTTTGCCTGTGACATGGCCCAGCTGTGGGTTTGCACCCAGGTCACAAAAGCTGCTTTTGACCCCAAAACTGTGCTTTGTGCAGGAACCCTGAGGAGGTGGCCTCTGAGCCCAGCCCTGAAGGCGAGTCTGGGGAGGGGCACTGTTGCAGGGGGCTCTGAGGGGCAAGGGCTTGGCGGGGTGCAGGTAAGGACAGCTCCAGGAGGCTGGAGTTGGGGTGTGAGGTGTGCACTAAGGAGGACATCTGGACCAGATCACATGGGGCTCTGAAGGTCACGCAAGGAGAGAAGGGGTCACAGCAGGATTGTTCCAGCAGGGAGATCAAGGCACCTAAAGTGCTGGACTCAGGGTCGCCAAGCTGGGGAGGCCCCAAGACAGGAGGAGGCCTCTGACCACCAGTGCCAGGATGTGTGACGGGAAGAGCAGTCATGCTGGGGACCCACCCACGGTGGGGGGGCCTGGTCACGTGGAGCCCTGTGGCCTGGGGCGTGGTGTCTCTGCTCAGGCATAAAATGGGGCAAAATCCCTGAGGGCAGGGGCTCCCTAATAACAGTGACTGCCCAACACCGGCTCAGCTCCCTGCCGCCCTCCTGCACCAGCCAGGGCTGCAGCCAGGGACAGGCTGGAGCTTGTGGAAGACAAGGAGGGGGCTGGGGAGGACGAGGGGAGGGGCAATCTGACCTCCCTACCCAGGCTCCTGTCTGCTGTCGCCTCATGTTCCCTGACCCCAGCCATCCACCCAAGTCCTGCAGGTGGCATGGGAGTACCTAGGCGACAGGGCGACGGTATATATTTGGTGACGCCCACGTCTCCAGGCTTTTCACGCCCTCGCGGCCCAGCAGCCCCCACCTAGCTGGAGTGAGGGTGGCCCTACGTAGGTCCTAGGCGGGTGGGGAGCGCAGAGGAGGCTGAGGCGGAGGAACACGTGAGATCGGCCGCGCGGAGCACTTTGCGCGTGATCGCGGCGAGACGGGTCACGTGCACGCGCTGCTCGCGGTCCCGCGCAGGCCCCGTGTGCGCGCCGGGCCGTGAACTGCAGGCCCGTGGGGTCCGCCCGCGTCCGGGAGGGAGGCTCGAGCGCGCCCCCGAGCTCGCGTGGCGGGCCCGCCCCTCACACCTGCGGGCGGGCTGGGGCGGGGTCGCGGCTGTCCCCGCCCCCCGGCCCGAGCCCCGGGAGCCGGGGCGGAACCGAGCGGCGGGCCCGAGCGGCCGGCGGCGCGGCACAGACAATGGGAGCCGCGCGGGCGGCGGCGGCGCGGGCCGCGGAGCCCCGGGCCCGGCGGGGACCGGAGGCCGCGCCATGAGCCCCGCAGCCGGGCGCCCCCCTGCGCCGCGCGCGGGCCGAGGCGAGCGGCCACTGCGAGCCCCGGGCCCCGCCCTGGGGCTGGCGATGCGCTGCCAAGGCTGAGGATGATGGTAGATTGCCAGGTGAGTGCCCCGCCCGGCCCCGGGCGCCCTCCCGCCGTTGGGGGTGGAGGGAGGACTGCACGCCCCCGCCCACACCGCACCCAGCGGGGAGGGCGCCCTGCGCCGCGTCCACGCTCAGCGCTCGCTTACGCAGTTCCGTGTCCGACCCCTCCTGGTACAGTAGGGAAACTGAGGCCAGGAGCGAGGCAAGGACTGGCCCGGGACACACGAGGTGGGCAGAGTCCAGAGGAGAAGGGAAGGTTCCGGCCTCCTAGGCCAGAGCTCAATCGTGAGGACCCCTGCCCACCATCTCTCACGGGGGGGCTCCTTGGACATCCCCACGCACGCACAGGCACACATAAACCACACGCTTCCCAGCTATCAGAGGAGGACTGGACAGTGGGAAGGCGACAAGGGGGAAGAAGAGAGAGGCTGGAGACAGCTCCAACACGGCGGGGGCATCCAGTCTCCTAGCAACGTGCCTGGGGTCCACTGCTGGGAGGGAGAGACATGCCAGGCTGCTGGGCAGGGGAGCCCCAAGGTTCCCAGGGTCTGCCTGGGCCGGGGCCATCCTCAGGGCAGCCTCGGGAGGACAGGGCGGGGGTCCTGCGTCCAGCACTGTGGGCACCTGGAACTAGGATGAGCTTCCCTCCTTAGCACAGAGGGGGCTGAAGGAGAGAAGGCCTCAGTTTCCTCCTCTGCAAATTGGGGCGCTTGGCCTTGGTGACCCCAAGGGGCCCCCAGGCTCATGGATGTGTGTGTTGGCCTTGGTTCTCCATCGATGACTCGCTGCCCACTGAGGTCCCTGGAAAAGACTTTCTCCTCCCTGGAGTTCCTTCTGAGCAGGGAGCAGCCTGGGGTTTGGGGGACTGGGGACCTGGGGTGGTGCAGAGCCTGGCAGAGCACTGAAACACTCCTCTGGGGTCCAGGGACAAGACTGTCCTTGTTGTAGCCTCGGGGTCCTCATGGGAAGTGGGGCGGCAGTCATTGCCCTGGTTGGGGTGAGGAGTCCTGATGGGTGAACTGGACACCCCAAGGCCATCAGAGGGAAAAAGGGGAGCAAGGGAGGCTTCTGAGGTTTCTTGAATCACCCCTGGAGCCTGCAGGTCCTGCTCCTTTTCCCCCCTGGGCCCCCGGAGAGCTGCTACCTTGACAACACCCAAACAAAGGTGTGTGTTTTGTTTTCTGTTTCCTGTCTGGGGCTGCAGTGCTAGCTCTGGCCACCAGGGGCGGCAGTGCCCGCTGTGCTCCGTGGAGCAGCTGGAGCCAGGGGAGAGCCCCAGGGTCGCTGTGGGGTCCCCTGCCTCCACCTGGCGAGCGCCTCCCCTTGCTAGCGTCCGTCTGCACAGCGTGGGCTGTTCTGCGGTGGGGAGGGCTCCGACGTCCTCTCGTCTTCCCGTTCAGCACATGTGTCCGCACACGCCCTGGGGGCTTCTGTGCTAGTTCTGGGCGGGGCTCTAGAGATGACCCCGCGGGCCCCGCCCTCCTGGGACCACGGGCTGGGGGGAAGTGGACAAAGCACAGAGCAAACACCTGTAAGAAAGAGCAAGGGCTGCTGTGAAAATAAAGCCAGGAGCTGGGAGGGGGCTGGGGTCCCTTGGCAGAGTCTGAGAGGTCGCCCTGAGATGCTGTGACCAGAGGACAAGGGAAGGCCAGCCCTGCACTAGTCTGGGGACCGTGTGCCAGGGGAAAGCTCAGGGTGGCAGAGACAGAGAGGAGGTTAGAAGGGAGGTCAGTGTGGCTGGAGAGAGCTGGGGGTGGAGCAAGCAGACCCCAGGGCCTGGGGACCGTGCTGGTCACCATGGCTGTGTGGCAGCATCTCCCAACACTCAGCATCCAACAGACAGGGACTGTCTACAGTTCCCATGACCCGGCCCAGCCAGGGCCTCTTCCCCCAGGTCTCTGGGGCAGCGGGGACTGTGGCTGGGCTGAGGCGGGACTGGGCAGGACCCATGTCCCAGTCACTCGCACCGGAGGGGCAGGGTTCCGTTTCCACTGAGGGCCTGAGTTCGTCTGTGACTGTCCGCGGGCCCTCTGCTGGCTCTGTGCCATGTGGGGCTCCGTGCGGCAGCTCAGAACTTGCTTCCCCAGAGCGAGGGATGTGGGCGGGGGGGGACACAACAAACAAGCACGACACAAGTCACCGTTGGTTGTGAGGCTGGCACTTGCTGTACTGTGTTGGTGGGAAGCCAGTCACTCAGTCCAGCCCACCTGGGAGAGGCACCTGGGTCTGATTCTAAACACAGCAGGAAGCCGTCTGAAGGCGTATGCCAGAGGGGCCGATACCTGATGATTTTTGCTTCATTTTCAACCCCCCTCCCATGCTGCAGACAACGTGAGGCCAAGAGGGGAAGTGGTTTTCCCCAATCTCAGCCCCAGAGCCCAGGCCTGTTTTGACTGGATTCCATGCCACGTCTCGCCCCTTCTCGTAACTCCCATCTCTAAGTCGGTGCGTTAGTGAACAGGTCTTACAGACGCTATCTCACGTGCACGTGAGGGTGTCCCTAGGAAGGAGGAGCTAGCATGCTCCCCACTGTGCATGAGGGGCGACGGGGGCAGGGGGGAC